AAATATATTCTTTTTTAAATGTGTTAAAGTGATTTTTTAGTTTCGATTTTCTTTGTGCAAACAAAAATGATTGACAATGAATGACAATCATTGAATTATGTGATTATTACAGTAAATGAGGAATATCAACACTTGATATTCTGATTTGATATAACTTAATAAATCATTTTTGTAAAATTACTTTACCTGATCGAGCGTTTTCCCTGCAACTTCTATACCGTTTACTTCCAGAACCTCATCATTCACAGCTAGAAGCCCTGTACTTTCTGCTAAGCCACCTGGTACTAATCTACTAATAAACACACCTGGAACCTTTTCAATTCCACCACCAGCAGATGATGGCAGTACACGATAACTTTCACCATCCTTGATATAAAATCCCAAAGGTTTATCGGATCCATGTTTTAATAGACGTACACGTCGACAGGTTTCTGGCAGTATGTCAACGTCAATAATTGCAGATACCTGACAGCAAATATCAATAAATGATAGGAATAAAGGATCAGCAGATAACATTATGCACTGAAAAATGTACAACAAAGAGCAAACTTACCTGTCTAAAATCATGTGGATTTGAAATAACTATAGATTTTGGTTTGCCTGGTGTACCACCCAAAATACTGGATATCAAATTTTTAGGTTTCATTGTACCATATCCATTATCCCACGCTCCATCACCTGTTACAGCAATAATCAAATTAAGGTTGTCTTCTAGTAAGAAATATAAATAACATATTCCAAATTTACTGCCACAGTAATGAAAATGTTGTAGTTTATATTACGTGTACTATAGATTTTCAATACAGGCAGGCGATTTTAGAACATAATCATAGTATAACATAGATCGCTTTTCTTTTAAAAGATACAGTCAACACAAGTGTTGTTCTATCTTCATTATTCATTAAATTCTAAAGATAGAATGACATTTATGTAGATTATATCTCTTCTAACAGAAAATACTGATCATAATAAATTATTTCAACTTTACTTAACATTGGTAAACAATAAAGAGTGTTTTCTATTTTTTGTCTTTATTGTTACTCATGAAATGTCGAAAAAGATAAAATTACATTTAAGTTGATTTCTGTCACAAAGTAAAAATTAATCCAAAAATATAATGATTTATTATGGTAGAGACTGGTATTACATTTATTGTACAACACATTTCTTAAGTCTGTTAATCGGTTGAGGAACAGAGAGATTCTCAGATCTCCATCCTTTAATCAATCACAGGTTTGAAAAATTTGTCATACAAAAAAACAGATAAATGTAATATTAGCCCCTCATACTATATCATCTGTGTTTCTTGCTATAAAATACTCTAAATGTACACATGCAAGATATATAGGATACTTTCCATTTAATGACATAAATTGACGCAAGTTCTATCTTTGTTATTCAATACATAAATGTTGAGAAAAATAGAATGTTTGTAAAAAATACGAAATAGAAAGCAGCCTAAACATCTTGCGTGCAATATATAATACAATCTAAGGATCTTACCTTTCCTATGTATAAAAATTCGGAGCAGGCACTTGGCATTTGCTAAAGCCCTCGCCAGATTATTATCATTATTGATGGGAAGTAGATCACCATCTGTATCCGTATACCAAATTGAAAAGCTAAAGTCTGTCCCCAAATCATGCCTTTGCGCCAATAGCTTCCCAAAGTCCTCATAACTCATAGGCTCGTTACGATTCATGGAGAATCTGATGATGTCGGCATCGAACTGTAAAATAATTTAAATAATGCGCAATCCCACAAATGTCCTCCATATTCCATGTTATTCACGAGTGATAGTACGTGGTACACCCACTTTGCTCTTCACGGCGACAATGCCGTTGTCCACCTTGTCCTGCTTCTTGGACATCCTCAAAGTTGTTTTTACCTAACGTCGGACGTGCCACTACTACGGCTGACTCAACTAGCCTACGAGGAAGACCAGGGAAGACAGGAAGACGTGCATAGTTGCATACCAAACCAAACCACGACGGCGTGCACGACTCAACTTGTCTGAAGCCACGGTGAATACCTAAAAACCCGATATACAAACATGCGTTCGGGTTCGGCGAGGCGCTATCAGCGCTATGATTGCTTAAAGGTGCATTTTCACGAGCCGCTCAAAGGCCTAGTTTACATCGTGCACTTGATACGAGTACTAACCAGTAACTTTCTATTGAATTATCTTAATTTCAGCATGTGTAAACATATGCTTGATATGTGTATCAATTATTTTGATGCATATTTTACTAATTTAATACATTATTCTTTAAATACATTGGAAATTAAGATTATTTAATAGAAAATTACTAGTTAATACGCGTATCAAGTGCTCGGTGTAAAA